TTCGACTACTAGTCATAGTCTATGAGATTTGGGTGATCTCTAGATAGTCATGAAAGGCCCAGGAGTATGACTTATATGCTCTAACCAGAGGGGATGCTTTTGGCAACCTAGTATCAGTAAAGAGTTTAGGTGAAACTCATTCACACAAAACTTACAATTCAAGGTGCAGTCCATTGTTCAAGTTGTGGGTCGGTGTAGCTTGAAGCTCTAGGCGGATGTTCAACTTAACAGCCTCTGCTAAAAAACACTAGTATATAAACAGTAGTGGGAGAAAGAAAATATTTATACTGGGCTTTTGAGATCTGGTGGGGATTGTTAGAATTTATATGGATAAAATTCCCTAAATCCATATGAAGAAATTCTAATAAATATATGTAGTTGATGTGTTCCTTAATGGGCTTTATTGTTTAAGTCCATGAGTAGAGGTGGAAGGTGCAACGTCAATTAGTACCATATTGCTAGTTGATGTGGAGTTAGGGAGTTCTCCTCCCTATATATATGTACCAATCCTCCTGGAAAAAGACATAACAACAATAGAACTATCATTGGAAGTTCCTAGTTTGGAAAATCCTACGATAGTCGATTAGTGTTTTCCACTTCTCACTACTGCGTTGCCTTCTAAGTTTCCCCATTCCGATCCTCTTCGCGCATGGAGAGTTGGGAGAGCAGGCCTCCGGAACCACCGTCTGCATCTGTGACATCTGCTCTGGTGTGCGGGCGATCATGTTTTTGGGGAGCGTCTTCACGACAACCCGCTTCTTCCTGGTGACTACCGACGTCTTCTTCTTCTTCCTCGGATCGTCTACTTCCTGGTGGATGTTCAAGGGACTACACTACGTACATCTTCCTGCACCGATTGTGGTCCGCGACTTCGAGCAACTCACCATGAATGGGACTGGAGCCACCGATGCTTTGGGCATGGGTTCATCCGTAGGGTACATTTCTATTCTCAAATTGGTTAAATTCAATCTCATTTTCACTATGATCGATATATTTGTTTATGAACATATTTGCTGCTAATCTGAGCAGTAGTAAAATCGCACGTGTGCACATATTTGTCATCACAAATTTGTTATTATTTTTCTAGATTAATTTTAACAAGAAAATGCCTAAATTTCTAACAATACACAACGTCGTAGTGCACGCCCACACTGGCCGGTAGGAACGGCCCCCCATTGCAGGTGCTGTGGTCGCAGCCAGCGCCCATGGCGCAGAGCACGACATGGTTGGTGTAGATGTCGGGCACCTCATCAGGGATCCACGCTCATGATCGGTGATGGGGTCGCAGACGACGAACTCACTAGAGCCGTAGTCGTAGAGGAGGGCATGGCCGTGGCAGTAGTCGAGCATGGCGTAGGTGCAGTGAGTGGTGGCGGCGGCGTGCGGGCGGAACACCATGGTGGGGATGAAACGCTCGAGGTTGCAGTCGGTCGGGTTGTGGAGGAAGCCGAGCACACGGGACGTCCCGTGGAAGGCGCGGTAGCGGCGGAGGAAGGCAGGGTCGGTGAGGGTGTGGAGACAGGGCTTGTAGATGGCGGAGTTGTGGACGAGGCCCATGGGGTCATTCTGTGGCAAGTAGAGCAGGATCTCGGTGACGGCGTCGAGGATCAGTTCCGGCATTGGTGGCGGCGGCTGCGGCAACGCCATAGGGATCAGCTCCGGTGGTGCGAGGGTTTGGGTGAGAAATGTGCGAATGGGGAATTGGGGATTTTGGGTGTGGGGAAAGCTAAAGAAGTGAAGAGAAAGACTGCAAGACTGCTTGGAGTTGGTGCTAGCTCCACCAGTGGGGTTCACGTAAAATAAAGCTCACGATATACATTTTTAAAAGAACATGGTCACTAAATTCGGTTAAGATTTTCTTTGGAATTGGAATTCAATTTTGTGCGTAGCATGATTTTCTTTGGAATATTATTTCACAATTTCACTTTGTTTGGGCTACTGACATATTTAATTTCTCTATATGAACCTCAAGGTACTGGAATTGAGCCATCACTGCCATAGTTTTCAGATTTGGACGTAGTCCTGACTGGTCGCTGAAGTGTAGCTCAGGGTTTTCCATGGCTAAACTTTCATAGCTAAACCATGGACTAAACTTTAGTCACTGGATGTTTGGTTTGAGTGACTAAAAGAGGCCTTTTAGTCCCTTTTAGTCAGGGTGTTTGGCTCTAAAGTGACTAAATGGAACTAAAAGGTGAGGTTTAGTCCCATTTAGCAACATCCCGATGACTAGTTGGCTAAAGCCCATTTAGTCGCATTTAGTCATAGTGTTTGGATGAAAAGTGACTAAATGAGACTAGATTTAGCTGACTAAAGTTTAATAGGGGAAACCAAACACCCCCTCAATTAGGGGATGGTTTAATTGAATGATAATGCTCCTGTTGATCGTACATGCGACCTAACGGACCCTGCCCGTGCCGTCGGCTCACCAAAACAGACCTACTGAAAGGTCCTTTTGTGGTTTTGGTAATTGAGTGACAACCTAGGTGGATTAATTGTGTTTATGTAAGATACACAGGTGATTAGTCCACAGGTATATGTGTGTGAGCAACATATACCATGAAGGTGAAAATGGCTTGGAGATGTTGCAAAGCTCACACATGTGATGATGAAGGAGCTCATTGCAAATGAGACATGACATTGAGTCATGTGATCAAGGTGGAGAAGATCAAGACATGACTTGGCTTGATGGACCGGTTGCAAGCGTGAAGGGCAAGTCAGAGGCTTTGGAGCGATGGACCGCGTGGTGGTGAAGCTTGAGCAAGACTTGGCGCGATGGACGAAGGCAACGGTGAAAAGCAAGTGAAGTCAAGATCGATGAACCAATATGATCACGTGATGATATGAAGTGGATCATATCATTGTTGATCGTGTTGGTGCATGTGTTCATCGACATTGGAGAAGATGGAATGGAATGCGCAAGGCAAAGGTATAACCTAGGGCATTTCATTTCGCTGGTCATAGGTGTGTAGTGAAGTTGATGACCGTGTTTAGGATAGATGTCCATACTATCAAGAGGGGAAAACTTGTTTGCATATCGGTCATCTAGTGCCACTCGAGTGATATAACTTTGCATCGTCGCTAGGATTGAGTGGCGTGGCAAGTTGAGTGGCTAATCCTTTGGAAAATGTTTGTGAAAATGCTAACACACATACACATGGTGGTGTACACTTGGTGGTGTTGGCACATTTGCAAAGGAGAAGAAGTTGGTGAAGAAAAGGAGTTCGTCGCGCTGGTCACAGAGTGACCGGACGCGTTCGGTGTGGATACCGGACGCGTCCGGTATGTTATCCAGACTTCGGGTAGTCTGACAGGAGTGACCGGACTGAAGCAATACGAGGTAGGCTACGCTAGCACAAAAAAAATTCTACCACGTAAAATAGGAACACTGCTGTTATAGATCACGGGATTACCACTAGACGCGTAGATGTGGAAGTTGATGAAGCACGTCGGGGCAGTGTAGTCGATCGCCGCGTCGAAGTAGAGTAGTCGATCACCTCCACGTCAAACGTTCAGTGGCCTCCTACTCGTGCAGCGGCTCGTCCAAGTGTTGCAGATGCAACACGTGCGGGGAGGAAGCGTCGCAAGCCGGACTGCTAGAACCATGAGTGCAACTCGGTGAGGGCGTGGGAGATGGAGCAGCTACTGGGCGTGGGAGATGGAGCAGCAGCTGCTGCGCCAAAAGGGTCCAAACCCTAAGCCACCCCCACCCCTCAATATATAGAGGTCCCTGACAAGCCTCTAGGTTCGAGGCCCATTAGTACTCCTAAATCTGGTCCAATTCGGATCAGATCCTCATTGGGCTTTCAGCCCCTTAAGTGTGCGACCCTATAGGTTCACATACGTATAGACATGATGTGAGTACTTCTACTCGACCAGTAGTTGGTAGCGACCTCTAGCAAGACATGCCAACTCCTATACGCACACGAAGATCATATCAGACGAACCATCACAACATCATGTACATGCTATTCCCTTTGCCTCACGATATTTGGTCTAGCTCCAAGCCGACCTCTCTTTCTCGATCCTGTGATTCAAAATCCCTTTCTAGGTTAATTCTTAACCTCACGTAGCATGGCCATGCATTTCTAGATTCGATCACTCGAGGGGCCCAGAGATATCTCTCTCAAGTAGAGAGGGGCAAATTCCATCTTGACTGATCATACCTCACAGCATGCTTCCTAACAAACCCGAAAGCTACCTTTATAACTACCCAGTTACGGAGTAGCGTTTGACAGCCCCTAAGTAAGTCGATTCACATCTTGAGTGCATGCAACAATCTCAGGTCTAAGGACAAAGCATACACGTTGTGTAAAGAGAACTATGTAACTATATCTCGTGTTGGGTCGATCCTAGCACATGTCTCTACACGTGCCCACATTATTAGTTTGACATCTCCATGTCCATGACTTGTGAAACATAGTCATCAGCTAATACATGTACTAGTCTAATATTCATGTGTGTCCTCACATGAACTCCGACTAGGGACAACTTTAGAATAACCATACAAGTAAAGAGTTTCACATACAATTCACATAATTGCAAATCAATTCAAGTAGCCTTTAATGGATATTCAAGGAACACAATATGAAACATGGATACAATGGAATATCCTCATCTCTATGATTGCCTCTAGGGCATATCTCCAACAGTCTCCCACTTGCACTAGAGTCAATCTAGACGATATCTAATACCCATAGCTCTTACATGCGCATCATGCTTAGACTACAGGAGAGGCTTTGTCAAAGGATCAGAAATATTCAATTATGTATGTATTTTGCATATCTTGATCTCACCACAGTTAACAAAGTCTCGAATGAGATGAAATCGCCGCATTACGTGTTTGTTCTTCTGGTGATTCCTTGGCTCTTTTGCTTGCGCAATAGCTCCATTGTTATCACAGTAGAGATTCAATGGGCTGGACGCATTCAGGAACACACCAAGCTCAATAAGGAAATTCCTTATCCAAACACCCTCCTTCGTGGCTTCAAGCCGTGATGTACTCAAACAATCAGAGAATCAGCCACCGTCTCCTGCTTGGAACTCTTCCAGCTAATAGCACCACCGTTTATCGTAAACACAAATCCTGATTGTGACTTTGAATCATCTTTGTCTGATTGGAAACTAGCATCGGTGTAACTTGTTACAACGAGCTCCTCATCACCTCCATAGATGAGGAACAATTCTTTAGTCATTCTGAAGTACTTAAGAATGTTTTTCACCGCTGTCCAGTGACTCTCACCTGGATCTGACTGGTGTCTGCTTGTCATACTTAGCGCATATGAAACATCTGGGTGAGTACTTATCATTGCATACATGATAGATCCGATAGCCGAAGCACATGGCACTCTACTCATGTGATCCCGCTCATCAGTTGTCGAAGGACACTGAGTCTTGCTAAGGTGTATGCCATGTGACATAGGCAAAAACCCTTTCTTTGCCTATTCCATGCTGAAACGTTTCAACACTTTGTTAATGTAAGTATCTTGGCTTAATCCTATAAGCCTTCTGGATCTATCTCTATAGATTTTGATGCCCAGAATATATGCTGCTTCCCCTAAGTCCTTCACCGAAAAACTATTTTTCAATGAGGTCTTAACAGTTTCAAGCATAGGAATGTTGTTTCCAATCAGTAATACATCATCCACATATAAGATTAGAAATACTACAGAGCTCCCACTAACCTTCTTGTAAACACAAGCCTCTTCTTCGTTCTTAATGAAGCCAAACCCTTTGACCACTTCATCAAAATGAATGTTCCAACTCCTAGATGCTTGCTTCAACCCATAAATGGATTTCTGAAGTTTGCATACCTTTCAAACATTTTTCGGATCGACAAAACCCTCGGGCTGCATCATATACACGTCCTCAGTTAAATTTCCATTCAGGAAAGCTGTCTTGACATCCATCTGCCATATCTCATAATCGAAATATGCAGCTATAGCTAGAATAATCCGAATAGATTTAAGCATCACTACGGGCGAGAAGGTCTCGTCGTAGTCAACTCCTTGAACTTGTCGAAAACCTTTTGCGACAAGTTGAGCTTTATGGATGTGAACATTTCCATCCATATCTTTCTTATTCTTATAGATCCATTTGCACTCTATGGTTTTAACACCATCAGGCGGGTCAACCAAGTTCCAAACTTGATTGTCTCCCATGGACTCTATTTCAGATTGCATGGCACTCTACCATTTTTTGGAGTCTGGGTCCATCATTGCTTCAGCATATGTCGCAGGCTCATCATTGTCCAACAATAATATTTCCCGCAATTCGCGAAGCCTCGCCGACCTTTGTGGTTGTGGTGGTACTTCTCTTGCCGTGGGTATCTCAACTTGTTCTACTATGCTAGCATCACTCATTGATTCTTGCCCAATTGGCTCATCCCAAACTTCTTCAAGACGCACTGGCTTTCCATTCTTCTCCCCTTTGAGAAACTCTTTCTCTAGGAAAACACCGTTCCGAGTGACAAACACTTTGCCCTCTGATCGGTTATAGAAATAATACCCTAAAGTTTCCTTTGGATATCCCACGAAAATGCATTTATCTGACTTGGGTGTTATCTTGTCCGACTGAAGTCGTTTGACAAATACTTCACATCCCCAAATCTTTAGAAAAGACAAACTGGGAGTCTTTCCAGTCCACATCTCATATGGTGTCTTAACTACGGATTTAGACGGTACCTTGTTAAGTGTGAAAGTTGTTGTTTCAAGAGCGTATCCCCAGAATGATAATGGTAGGTCTGACTGGCTCATCATTGATCGAACCATGTCCAACAAGGTTCGATTACGTCGCTCGGATACACCGTTTCTCTGAGGTGTTCCAGGCGGCGTAAGCTGTGGAACAATTCCGTAGCTCTTCAGATGATTGCTAAACTCGTGGCTTAAATACTCGCCTCCATGATCAGATCGTAAGGCCTTAATTTTCTTGCCATGCTGATTTTCAACTTCATTTTGAAATTCCTTGAACTTTTCAAAGGTTTCAGACTTGTGCCTCATCAAGTAGACATAGCCATATCTACTAAAATCATCAGTAAAAGTTATGAAGTATTGGAACCCTCCTCTAGCTGTCGTACTCATTGGTCCGCATACATCGGTATGTACGAGTTCCAACAAGTCTAATGCTCTCTCAGGAAAACCTGTGAAAGGCGCCTTGGTCATCTTGCCTAGCAAGCAAGCCTCACATGTCTCGTATGATTCAAAATCAAACGAAGTTAAAAGTCCATCAGAATGGAGCTTCTTCATGCGCTTTTCACTTATATGACCCAAACGACAATGCCACATGTAGGTAGGACTCAAATCATTAGGCCTAGGCCTTTTAGCACTTATATTATAGATAGGTGAATCATCAAGACTTAAAACAAACAATCCATTCACAATGGGTGCAAAAGCCATAAACATATTATTCTTAGAGATCACACAACCATTGTTTTCACTCGCAAATGAATAACCATCCTTCATCAAGCATGAAGGAGACATAATGTTTTGACTTAAACTAGGAACGAAATAACAATTATTCAACTCCATGATAAATCCTAACGGGAGGTGGAGTTGCATCATCCCGACGGTCAATGCAGCAACCCTTGCATTATTGCCCATGCAGAATCAACTTCTCTTTCAATGCTTCTACTTTTTATCACTCCCTACATCGAATTACAAATATGAGCAACCGATCCGGTATCAAATACCCAAGAATTAATAATTGTATCAGCGAGAAATATGTTGTCTATAACATTAATAACAAGTGTACCGAGGTGGAAGTACTCTTACTTCCGCCATTCTTCAACGGGCGGAATCTCGCTTGCAATTTCTCTTCCAAAGACCAAGTTCGTGACAATAAAAGCACTCTTTATCCAGAGTAGGTCTAGCTTTAACCTTGGGCTTTGGGTTTGGCTTAGAGTTCACACCTTGCCCTTCTTCTTCCAAGAATTGCCCTTCTTCTTAAAGCTAGGCTTGTTCTCAGATTGCCATCACATGGTCTGCTTAACACTTTTCTTAATGTCACCCTCCTCATGTTTTAAGCATGCCACACAGTTCATTCGGACCCTTCTCCACCCCATGCATATGGTAGTTCGAGATGAAGTTCCCATAGCTAGGCGGAAGAGACGAAAGAATGAAATCGGTGGCCAACTCTTGGCCCATGGGAAGCCCGACTTCTCCAACCGTTGAACGTAACCAACCATCTTGATTACGTGTGGCCCTACTGCTGCGCCTTCTGCTAGCTTGCTTTCCACAAAAGCCTTAGACACATTGAACCTTTCAGTCCTAGCCTGTGTCTGGAACATGTCTCTAAGCGCCACGATCATATCGTACGCCTCATGATTTGTTTCAAACTGCATCTGCAGTTCGGGTCCCATGCAAGCAAGCATAAGGTAGCTTACTTCGAGATTAGCATCACATGCTTTCTTGTAAGCATTCTTAATGGCAGCAGTGCATCATCAATGAGTTCTTCCGGTAATGGGGTGTCCGAAACATCTTCCTTTTTATCAGCCCTGAGAACAATTCTCAGGTTACGGATCCAATCCATGTAGTTTGTTCCATTCAGCTTGTCCTTCTCAAGGACTGAACACAAAGCAAACGGTGTGGTGTTGCTAGGTGCCATTTATCTACAACAAATAATAATGCAAAATACTAAGACAAAAGTATCCATGACAGAGTAAATCACATTAAACTTTTAACAAACTCTACTCCCACTAAAATCAATATCCCTCTATTGATACTTAGTGATTCAGGATCCACAACTAACAAGTCTACTAGTGAGCTTTAGCATCACCGCTAGCAGTCAAGGTAGATCGGTAAGCAACTCTTTGCTAATCATATCACATATGACTCCTGTTGTTGGGTGACATCTCCATGTCTCGGCACCCAACCTTCATGCCCCAATGTCCTTAACCGTTAAGATGACCTTGTTAAGCAAACCAACCCTTATGCGTGTAAGTATCCGATACAAACCCGTCTAGTCAAAGAAAACTAGTGGTACTCTAATTTCATAGACCCACCACCAATTGTACAAGACATGGGACGGTGCAAGTTTTAGTTGGGAGGGCATTAATAACTTAAATTTTGCGAGGGATCGTTCTACTTCTAACATCACATCATGTAGAGTAAAACAAAAGAGTAGCATTCACATAGTTGTGACACAGTATGGCCCGATTTCTAGTGGTGATCTCCATCTCCATAGAACTTGTTCACCATGATGATCTCCATCTCCATGATCTATGTGCGCCATCCTCCTAGTGATGAGTCCTCCAAGAACTAATACAAGCTACTACATCTAATCAGCTAGTAAAGAAGGTTACACAGTTGCTTGGATCATCACAGATTAACAAGCAAGTCATCAATTACATTATTTTGACAATACATATGCAGGGGCCATACTGATCACAAAAATCCTGCAAAACAGAGTTAGGCGTTCTAACTTCCAAACTTAAAAGGCCCAAAACTCCATCTTCCAAGCCGATTTTGGGAAATCTAATTACGCCAAAAACACAAACGGGTTGAATTTCATGTGTAATTTTTTCTGTAGATCAATTTTCATATAAAATTCACCTCAATCCGAGATCGTACCGAAAAGTTACGGCCGTTTTACCGAAACACATGACCATGGTAAATTATCCGATCCAGTAGTAGATCCAATCGACTACTGCGCATCATATGCGTCTGGCGTATAAATCTAGGTTTCGATTTTACCAATCACATTGAACTTCGCTCGCTGCAACTGGCATTACGTGTATCACTTAACTCTGATGGCGGAATTTCGACCGGTAGGAGTACGTCGTTACACGACCATTGCATCAAGATCACGAAACCAGATCATAGATCAATCTGAAAAAACCCGCATATCTCCATATGCACACATCCCGAATCCATAACTAAACAGCATCGGCTCTGATACCACTGAAGCAATACGAGGTAGGCTATGCTAGCACAAAAAAAATTCTATCACGTAAAACAGGAACACTGCTGTTATAGATCACGGGATTACCACTAGATGCGCAGATGCGGAAGTTGATGAAGCGCGTCGGGGGAGTGTAGTCGATCGCCACGTCGAAGTAGAGTAGTCGATCACCTCCACATCAAACGTTCAGCGGCGTCCTCCTCGTGCAGCGGCTCGTCCAAGTGTTGCAGATGCCACACGTGCGGGGAGGAAGCATCGCAAGACGGACTACTAGATCCGCGAGTGCAACTCGGTGAGGGCATAGGAGATGGAGCAGCTACTGGGCGTGGGAGATGGAGCAGCAGCTGCTGCGCCAAAAGGGTCCAAACCCTAAGCCGCCCCCACCCCTCAATTATAGAGGTCCCTGACAAGCCTCTAGGTTTGAGGCCCATTAGTACTCCAAAATCTTGTCCAATTCGGATCAGATCCTCATTGGGCTTCTAGCCCCTTAAGTGTGCGACCCTATAGGTTCACATACATATAGACATGACATGAGTACTTCTACTCGGCCAATAGTTGGTAGTGGCCTCTAGCAAGACATGCCAACTCCTATACGCACACGAAGATCATATCAGACGAACCATCACAACATCATGTACATGATATTCCCTTTGCCTCACGGTATTTGGTCTAGCTCCAAGCCGACCTCTCTTTCTCGATCCTGTGATTCAAAATCCCTTTCTAGGTTAACTCTTAACCTCACGTAGCATGGCCATGCATTTCTAGATTCGATCACTCGAGGGGCCCAGAGATATCTCTCTCAAGTAGAGGGGGCAAATTCCATCTTGACTAATCATACCTCACAGCATGCTTCCTGACAAACCCGAAAGCTACCTTTATAACTACCCAGTTACGGAGTAGCGTTTGATAGCCCCTAAGTAAGTCGATTCACATCTTGAGTGCATGCAACAATCTTAGGTCTAAGGACAAAGCATACACGTTGTGTAAAGAGAACTATGTAACTATATCTCGTGTTGGGTCGGTCCTAGCACATGTCTCTACACGTGCCCACATTATTAGTTTGACATCTCCATGTCCATGACTTGTGAAACATAGTCATCAGCTAATACATTTACTAGTCTAATATGCATGTATGTCCTCACATGAACTCCGACTAGGGACAACTTTAGAATAACCATACAAGTAAAGAGTTTCACATACAATTCACATAATTGCAAATCAATTCAAGTAGCCTTTAATGGATATTCAAGGAACACAATATGAAAACATGGATACAATGGAATATCCTCATCTCTATGATTGCCTCTAGGGCATATCTCCAACATGGACGTGTCTGGTGTGTCTACTGAATGTGTCTGATATTTGGACCTGAGGTGAGCGACTAAGTGTAAGTGACCGGACGCGTCCGGTATGAATCAGCGAGTGTCGGTGTTCAGCGTAACAGTTGATCGGACACTGGGAGGGTTCGGTCCAGAGTGACCGAATGTGTCTGGTTGGCCCAGAGCTGCTCTAGGAGCTCTCTAGACTCGACCAGACACTACGTCTCCTGCGTCTAGTCCAGAGTGAGCGGACACGTCTGGTCAGCCCTAGGAGCTTACTAGACTCGACCGGACGCTGCGACTCAGCGTCCGGTCATTTCGAACAGCGCGTTCGATGCAACATGTTAGAGAGAGAGCCATTGGGGGCAACGGCTAGTTTGAATGGGACACATGGCGGTCAGGCAGTGACCGGACACAAGTGACTAGACGTGTCTGGTGCAAACAACCTGCGCGTCCGGTCATCTTGAAATTTGCCCAGTGAATGGGTAACGGCTAGTTTAGCCCATGGGTCTATAAATAGAAGGTGGTCTCGACCATGGCTTGAGTTGAGCTCCTCGAGGGACTTTGTGTCCATGCTTGAGAGTGCTTGGGAGCCCTCTAACTCTCATATGCTTGATAGTGATCATCCGATTGTGTGAGTGAGTGATTCTAGTATGATTGCACCGTGAGGTTGCGTCGAGTGGCACTAGGTGATCGAGTTGCAAGACGGTGGTGCTTGTTACTCTTGGAGGTTGCCACCTCCTAGATGGCTTGGTGGTGGTCTCTGTCGAAGCCTACAAGAAGCTTGTGCGGTGCTCCGGAGAATAGCTTTGTGAGGGGCATTGTGCTCGCCCCGTGGGAGACATGAAGAGCAACTCTAGTAAAGTGAGACACGAAGGGCAACAAGTGGTCCGGCCGGGTCAAGTGCTAGAGCTTGTGGTAAGCACTCCATGTGGGAGAGTGTGACTTGCGGGTCACCACTAGCAAGAGGACTGGCGGCAACCTTGGAGCTTGTGTCAACGGGGACTAGTGTGTTGGCAAGCACGTGAACCTCGGGAAAAAATCATCGTGTCATCCTTGTATTCCCATTGGTTTCCATCCTCATTACACAAGCTTGTAATTACTTTCATATACATTGTGCTTGTGTAGTTGCTCTTGTAATTAGTTAGCTTGTGTAGCTTGCTAGTTACCTTCTAACTTGTGTAGCATAGAAGTAGCTCCCTTGCGTGGCTAATTTGGTTTGTGTAACCTTGTTAGTCACATTTCTTAGTTTGTGTAGCTAAGGAATTGCGCTCTCTAACTTGGCATTGGTTGCCTTGTTATTGAGCATTGCTAGTGAGCTTAGGTGGCTTTGTGCTTTTGCTTACTAGCATGTGTAGGAGCCCCCTTGTTGCTTGAAGTACTAGTGGCATAGGTTTGTGTGACCTTGCTTCTAGAATTGGATAGGTGAGCTCTAGCTAGCCTGACACCTTTGTTGCCTAATTAGGATATCTATAAGGTGCTTGTGAACTTAGATAGAGGGGTGTAGTCTTGGCTAGACCGATTGTATTAGTTCCATATTTGTTTCGGTTAGCTGACACGATTTGAATTTAGAAACAACTATTCACCCCCCTCTAGTCGTCATCTCGACCTTACAAGTGGTATCAGAGCTAGGTCTCTCATTTATGGTCTTTACCGACCATTTCTGTGACACACACATTTTTTATGGCACACACTATGCACGGTGGAAATGTCATATGCTTGATCATTTCTGTGATTTGGGTCCCAAGGCATGGTGGATCATTGTTATTGGTTTTTCTTGTGATGCATTGGATAAGGACAACCTAACCCAAGCACAAGAGGATTGCTTACAACTTGATCATCGTGCTCTTTATTATCTAACGTGTGCTTTACATGATGATATTTTTAGACGTGGGTGGGATTTGGCGTGTGCTCATGATGTGTGGATGGCACTCCAAGCCTTCTACGGTGGCTCCTCCACAAGTGATGATGGCAAATTCAAGGAGGATGATCACAAGGTGGAGGCACATGAGAGTGTTGAGCATAACCACAATTTGGTGATTGTGGAAGATTGCTCCACCTCATGGTCAAGTGATAATGATGATGATCGATCCACTACAAGTTCACTTGATAAGATTGATGATGCCACAAGTGTTGCAAATGATGATGCTACCCCATGCACACTTGATGGTGATGTTGGTTCATGCTCAAGCCATGATGATGATGCTACTACAAGCTCTCCAACTACACCACATTGTTTCATGTCACAAGGTGACACCAAGGTATCAAATGATAATGTGGTTGATCATGTTGATTCGTATGATGAGCTTGTTAGTAGACTTGCTAGCATGACCATGTCTTTAGAAAATGAGAAAGCTAAAACATTGAAATTGAAAAATAAAAAGT